GCAACTTTGTTCTGTGAAATTGTCAACTCTGACACATGGGTTGAAGCACAGGTAGACAATAGAGTCAACTCGCTTTTGCTGCTCCTGGTTCATGCCCATCTACTTGCCTGTGTACTAAAAGCACAATTCTGACAGAGACCAAAGTGCTAAGATGATGTCAATAAGCAATATTGTAGCAATGGAGATCTTGTAAATTTATGGCTTAGTGCAGAATCAGGTTGACCAAGTCCTAAATAAAGATCTGGGAGGAGGATAAGAATGTATCTTGGGCATCCTACCCGAGGTCCTGAGCTTTTCTCACATTAATAGCACTTACAAATCAGTGAGGCAAGCTCTGATTTTCAGCCTGACTCAAACATCAGTGGAAAAACTTGGCGATTCTGTCACTCATGTGAACCAAGCTCTGGGAAAATGTGTTGCAATCCATTTGATCAAAACCCACCAATTCCCGCACATCAAGGTTGTAGGGACATTTCACATCAAAATGTAAAAACTTCAGAAGTTAAAAAAAAATAGTGTTAGCAGTGCTTATACCAGTTTCTTTTAAGCAATCCATCCTGAAAGAAAGATCATATCATCAGCTAAGTAGCCATACATTATATTTTGGAAAAAGCTGTTGGGAAAAGGTGGCTTGGCAAAGCATTAGGCATGGTGATTAATCTAAGTGCCAATGGAAGTTAGGAATCCTCGGTGGCATTATTCTTTTTTTCTGGTCTACTTAGGAAGCAGATGTAAAGGTGGCATGGTACTGTGCATGCATGAGCACATACATTTGTGAGCAAATTCCCTTCCATGAGTGCATGGGTGCTCAGATTGCCCCAAATAATTGTTTGCCAGGGTTGGACTCCAGCACTGGGCCTGCTGACAGTGCCTACATCAAGAAGAGCGTAGGCGAGTGGCAGAAAAGCCCACCCAGTGTACTAGCCTTGTTAAGCTTCGAGGGCTTGCAGGCCTTCCTAACTCTGCCCTGGGGAAAAACTGTGTAACAATGGATAAAAGACTTGGGCCTCCCAGCTTAGTTACAAAGGATTCTCTGCACTCATCCTCTTAGTGAGAAATCCAGTTGAATGCTTTTTGAAATCTTTCAAATATTAAAAATAAAATAAATCTTCTTATTCCATTCCCTGGCGAGATTCTTGACTGCAGTGCCATGTTGTCATACCCTTCAGGTCCTTTAAAATGTCAAGAGGACCCCCTTCAGTGATGTGGCTGCAGCCAGGTACGTGGAGAAATGGATATTCAGTTCTTTGTATGTTCCTTCAAAAAGGTAAAGGGAAGATGGGAAAAAAACTCTCGGACCCTGAGAAAGGGAAAATGTAGTGGATATTAAAATAATTTAGTATTAGACTATGTTATTAGGAGGTTCACCACTATTAGCTAGCATGATAGGGATCAGTTTTGAAAAAGGACTGGAGAATATTAAATTGTTTCTGCCAGAGCCTGGGGCATATTTCTTAGATGTTTCACACGGACATAGGAATCACTGTTATGTGTGTTGCTCAGAGCAGATAGCCTAGAATAAATAGGGCATATCCATCATGACAAGAACCAAAAACTGTTTTCAGACACAGTTTCACACCTACAACTGAGGCACGTGAAGCCACACAGAATGTGCAGGTGCACCTGCACATATTCTACCTCAGTCATTGCACTGTTGTCTTTAGTTAGCCCATCTTCCCATGGCTCCTTTCCACTACTGTGACGCTGATGCCTTCCTCTGGGTGTAGTACGGGCTGCCTGAGAAACTGGTTTGCCTTTTGTTTCCTCCTCTCCTGAAAGGTTTTTCTACTCTCTCTTCCCTTGTTGCAGGAGCCTCTTTGCTGGTGCCTTTTAACCCAATGAAGTGCTTCAAAACACTCTGAGGTCACTTATAATCAGAAAGGGTTGGAAGAATAAAAGCTGTCCATGTGCGCTATCATGAAGCGAATCACCACAGGACTGTTTCCCATGGTCATAGACGTTAGTTTTCTTTGCATGGAAATCTTCTATGGAATGTTATGTTGTCATTGTTTTGTGAAGGAATTTCTTCATGGGAAGCTCTTGCAAGCAGAGAAGTGATTTGTGCTCTCTCTCTTGCTCTCTCTCTCGCTCTCTCTCTCTCTCTTTCCAAGGAGCTGTTGAATGTTCCTGATGTTCATCATCATCTTACTTTAAATCCTTCTTCTAAAGTCTTTGGTGCCTTTCAGTAACATCAGATATCATACTGATGTGCTCTTATAGCATGCTGGGTAACAGCACATAGGAATCTGAATTTCAGTAGTTTTTTCACTGAAGAATGTGTTTAAATGCACATAAGGAACATCCACTGGTCTGGTTACTTTTTTTTTTTTTTTTTTTTTTGACATTTTGCTATCTCTGAATTTAGCTGTGGTTCATTAGTCAAGGAAATAAACAAACAACTGCATTTCTTATTATCCACACTATCACAGAGTGTATTCCAAGCCCATACATATCCTGTAGCTTGTTAAATAATTCTTTATCCTTTAAGAAATTCCCATTAATCTCAAGAAGAGCAATAATGGCTTATATAAATATCTGAATCATTTTAACGAATATCTTTAATGGCTTTCATTAATTACATGTCTTCATAAAAGAAAAGCTACCCCTCTCAAACACAGCACTCTTTCATTCTTCAACAGGATCTAATTTCTGAAATAACTGAATGTAAAGCACTGATGCTTTGTTTGGACAAATTAAGCAGAAAAAAAATGCTCACACACATCAAGCAGAAGGGACAGAGATCATGTGTTCTATTAACTTGTCAGCTACTTTCATATTACTAGCAAAAGTTTACAAGTCCTGGCAGTTATGATTGCTGTTACACTGACAGCAAAATATTCCATGTGGACCAGGTTGTGATCTTATCTGCAGCCCAGGTGAAGATGAGAAGTTCCCTCTTCTGCTCTTGGTTTTGCCCTACACCGCTGTCTCAAGGTAGGTGGAGGTGACATGGTCCCCATGAATGGGGCTGTTGCTGCGGGACACCTTCCTGTCTCCATGTCTCCATCCATACCCGCTATAACCCCTGCCTTTTTCTTTTTCTCTACTTAATTTAAGTGTTAGTTTGCTTCCTTAAATCCATGATAAAATTCAACATTCATTACCCCGCCACCGCAGTTGCACTGAATGATGCTTTTGAAACTTTTTGTAAAGTGATCTCCTAGGTGTTCATCTATGTTCCTATGAAAACACCAGAGGCCATGAGTAAGGGATAAAAATTTTCAAGGCTAACTGTAAAGCAAGAGTAGACTCTAGCCCTTTGTAACCTTTTAAAATCCTTTCATAATCCAAATTTGGGGAATACTGAAAAAGGGAAGACGTCGCTGAAGTCTTTACCTCCACTTTTTATATGAGGTCACATAATCTTACTTACTCTTGTGGAAGACCTAAATAGCTCAAGGAAGGGTTTAAAGAGGGATCTTCTCTTTTTGAGGTCAGCAGTCATGAACTAAACCCTTGGGGAGACTAAGGCAGTATGAATATATACAGAAATCTTGATTACACATGGTGTTAAAAGATGCTAAAATACTTCTGCAGCGAATGATGGGTTTTTATCTGCTTAATTGTTTATCATAACTTAGGGTATTTTTCCCCTGCTTTGGAAATGAAGACTATCAATAGATGAGGGAAATAATTTTGTGTTTTTGTATGCAGTATGAGTCCATTACTTGGCCAAGACCCAGATCTATTGTGGCAAGAAAGTAATAGATGAACTAACTAGGGACCCAGACTCTCTGGCTAGCATCCAAGAAACATTAGAAAGTGTAGTACTGCACATAACAAGTAGGAAGATGCATGCAAATGTTGATGTCTTATTGAAAACTGTTAACTTATTAATATGTTAGGTTTACAGCCATGCATTTGGATATTAAACCCTGCTGT